AAAAGAAAGAAAGAAAAGAAAAGAAGAGAAAAGAAAAAGAAATAACACCACTAGACGGACATATCGCTTATCAGTGAATAACAGACATCATAGTTTTAGAGAGCATTTTCGAGTTTGAAATTTTATCTTCCTACCCGTACGTTTTAAGAGACTAACCAATATCGGCTAGGTAGTGTAACGCTAACTTGTAATTTGTAAATTTCCTTGTAAATATTGTTGCGAATGTACAAAAAGATAAAAAAAAAAATATATAAAACTATTTCCAGGAATCCAACGAAACGATATTAACATGAAATATAGGACGAAAATTATTATATATAGATGTAAATAATCGTAGAGCGTCATAGCTTGATTCGTATGATAAATACGCTGGCGATCCAATTTTTTAACGTGCAAATTAACTACACGATCGATTGTGACAAATAGAGTAAATACTCCTCGCTATATTTGCCATATTTGCAATATTTCTACAGTGAAACACTCGCTTGCTTCTTTCATGTACGTTTGGCGATTCGTTCGTGAAAGAAACAGAGAGTGTCTGAACGAAATATTACGGATAACGACAAGGATCAAGGGAAGCAACGCTTAGAAATTGGATTCGTCCGCAGCAATTGTATAAAAAAACGTATAGTTGATTTGAATCGTTCGATAAGCCCGCCCAAAACAAATTTCACAGGAAACGAAATCTCACGAAAGTATACGAGGCATGTACCGTTGCAGAACTGAAATCTCCAATTAGTCCAGATTTTGCAGCAATTTACGAGCGTAGTTCGTACATCATATTTTTCTTTCGGAGAAACGAGTGTCGTTAAAAGATATTAATTATTGTAAAAAGTTCCTTTTTGCATATCGACTTGACGAGTAGACTTCCATCGTCGTGGAAGACGCGCTCTTTTACCCGGAGCCGCACACGCTCTGTCATCTTGTGATCATGATTATAATAATTGATTAATAATTAATTACCACTTTTGTTCGATCACGTAATTCCATCATCTTTTACATGGCGCGTAGTTCTTGTACGTGCATGCGAACGCACATGAACAAACGCGTGCAAACGCTCGTCTATGTATATTGAAATAAATTAAACTTACATTTTTGAGAATTAAAATCTGTAATTTGAAGATTTATTTATAAATCCTCCTGTCGATGCAAATAACGACATATATTAATAAGAAGAAGCAAGTAATCACGCTGTACAGTAGGTAAGTAATTATTCCCTCATAATTTTCGAATTGCTCATTTAACCTACGTTTAATGTTTATTGACTAAATGAGAAATTGTCTGATAAAAATGATCTTTTTCAATCCCTTCGAAGAATAAAATAATCATCAACAACACTTTGCACTTTTGTATCGTGAATATTGAAATTAGGTCTTATATTCGCATAATGTCAATGCAAGTGGTGTAAAAATCTGCAGCCTAATAATAATAATTATTGCATTAAATCGAAGTAACAATTTAATCGCCGTAAGCATCTATTGCTCGAGTGATGTAGGTCCCAGGAGAACCCACGTTGGAATCAACAAATAGCGAAACAGGATCTCGAGGACCACTTCGGGCCGATTAGTTCACATGGTGTCCTATTACTTCTAGCCAGCAAAAGCGGTAGCGAGCCACGCGTTATTGTAAAGCTGTTTGTGTTATTAGATTTAGATTGGTCGGCACGTGGCGTGCGGTATGGCAGCCACGTGTCTCATTGCAAACGTTACAACGCGGCTACAATGCGAAATCGTTTTCCTTGTAATATTGCTTTCCTTGCCAACCCCCAACGAAAACACGTTCTTTTATCGAGGATCCGTCATTTCGCCATTATTTCCTGCGATATACCGGCACGGCTAGATGATTAATTATTAACACACTCGTAAATCACGTTCTCAACCTTCTCACTTTACGTTTATTGTTTCAGTAATTAGGAAGTAATTATTAACGTTGCTATTGGACCGTTTGAATAAGTGAAAAACGAGGCAGAACTTGACGATATTGATTGAACGTTGAAGTGCTTTTATGTTGTACATTTTATATTTTCGTACACTAATAGGCTTTTTCGCTCAGTTGTTTCGATCCCCTGGTACAAAAACAAGTACGGCTCTCACTGCCCGCCAATCCACCACAAGCAGATTATTTTCTTTTTTTTTCTTCTTCTTCTTTTAGCACGTGCGATCTAATTGGAATCTAGAAAGAAGAGCGAAAGTAAAAAGATAATTTTAGGGGAATTCTGTAAGGAGAATATTTTGTTTTCTTGTCTGTAAATAGGTACGTATTTAGTATCATTTCCTTTATCAATTATTCATCGCAAGATTCGCTCGTGCTTCAATGAATTTAACATTCAATCTTTAATTGATAAAAGGTAAATAATCCAGCTCACTACAATTAGTTAAAACAAATATTTCATTTTAGTATTTAATTTTAACATTTATATTAAACACTTATACCTTTACTTGCAAATAATCTTTTCTAACTGAATTTGCAAAACATCGAGATTTAGAGATTAACATAATTCGGGAATGTTTTTTCGTAAAGGAGATGCATAAATATTCCAACACGAATAAATAAAATAAACTTGAAACACGTGTTTTCGACACTAATAAGAATTGCGAATATTCGAAAAATATATTGACGCGTTACTGCGTATGCTCTTTTGCGTCAGAGTGATATCGGGGTAGAATTTGAGTCGGGCGTCAAAGGGGATGAACGGAGGGCCGTTGGGAGCCGGCAGGGATAGGAGCAATCCGGTGATGCACCCTTGACAGTTCACTACGATAAGATCTGCTTTTTCGCCGAGTAGTCGGCTCCATTTGAATTCTGTTTGTGAGGCCGAGCAACACCACTCTTCCACTGGCATTGTGCCTCTATCAATGGGAAAAGAATATTACCATCTACTGATTATCGGTAATCCTTATTCTGTGCTATTGAGTTTCCTTACAAATATTCTACAATGGCCTGCGGTATCTATCAAATAAAGCCATCTGATTTATGGTTCTTTTCTTTCACCGAACTACCAGTTACAACAAACCACTTTTGTCTAAATTCGACAAATTTAACATTTATTAAATAAATGTCTTCCTTGCAAATTTATTTGCCTTAGAAAAATTCTTCATGCATCAAAGATATATCATTTAGTACCTTCAGTGCATTCAAAGAGGTTATTTTATCAAGCTACCTATAATATATAAAAATACTGCAAGTAATTTAATTTGATATGCAGCGTTATGTTACAATTACATATGGGAAGCAGTTATAATTTCCAACGTATTATATGTAGGTGATATTTAAACTTTTCTAGAATATATTTATTATCATATTTGACAAAAGTAAATAAAAAATAATACTTATTAGTTCTTTTTACTCTATGAATTATTATGAAGAAACATGAGTTCAACAAGCCAGGTTGGCCGAGCGGTCTAAGGCGCCAGACTTAAGTTCTGGTTCCCAATTGGGAGCGTGGGTTCGAACCCCACACCTGGCAAAGTTTTTTTTTCATTTATAAAACATCATAATTGTAAAATGTACCTCTTGATCCGAAAGCAATATGCAATGTATAAAATTGTAAGATACAAAAAAATTTAAATTGTTATTGCAATTTATGAGTTTCTCGAAATTTTATTGCAAGATGTTTAACTTAAATGTATATTTATAAATGTATGTCTAAGATAGTTGCTAAATAATAGGATAAAAAATCAAAATAATCAAAATAAATTACACATACTGCAATAAATAATAAATATACAAGTTCGTTTTATTTATAAAAATCATTGTTATATATTTAATTATCTGTTAATTTTAAATTATACGTGCGACGTAGACTCAATTAGCCAAATTTGCAATATCAATTTTTTCATTTTAATTACCATTATTTCCACATTTTTATTTATGTAGAATTATGTAGTCTGCTATCTTTGAGAAAATTGAATGAACTACTGAATACTCATGATGTCGATAAAAGAAATCTCTGTAATGATAGAATCAATCGGCGAAAGCTATGACCGAGTGAAGGCCTGCCATCTAGTCATGTAGCACTCTACTAAAATAATACTGTAATTTAATAT